TAAGTATTGGGTTTTTATGTGTTTTGCACATTTTATATTTTATTTTATATGGTTTAAAAAACATCACTGTATAAGATTGTATAATAATATGAAGAATTGAGTTTGTGATAATTATACACAGGAGGATTCACTAGGGGTGTAACTGAATACAAGTGTGGGAGCTCAGCACCAATTTTGTTATAATTTCACTACCTAAATGAAATGTCCTTTTTTTCCACAAATAGAGTTCTTTCAGTGGTATGTAATCGCTTCTGCAGTTTTTATTTTTTGCACTGTAAGCAAAAAAATTATATTTTTGACTTTCTGCTATAAAACATATCCAGTAAGAAAATTAAAAAAATCAAATTTTGTCATAAATTTAGGCCAAAATGTATTCTGCTATATGTCTTTGCTAGATAGTGGGACTGCGGTGGGCATTCTGACACTGGGGGGAACTGACTAACTGCCACTGACACTCCCAGTGACACTAATATAGTGATCAGTCCTAATAATATGTGCTGTGTGCTGTTTTACTAAATGTGCTGTGTGCTTTACTAGGGAAACACTCTGCTTTGTATTGCTGTGTTATGCAGAGCAATACAAAGCAGCATGTCTGTACTGACAGGAGAGATCTGTGTTGTTTTCACACAGACCTCTCCCCTGTCACTGTTTCTCGGCGATCGCTGCGTGCCGACGAGGAATCTCTGGAAGGGACCCGGTGATCAACAGCTGTAGCTGCCAATGGCAGCGCTGGTAGGGCAGTGCACCCCCTACCCGGAAATGCAAAATCACGTATATATACACGTGATTTTGCGCAGCCCTGCTGCCCTGTAGCAGTAGTTCTGCTATCAGGTGGTAGGGAAGTTGTTAAACAGCTGGATGAATTCCTAAATGCACAAAATATAACTGGATACTAACATTTAAAGGTAATGACACCAGGAATTATTGATTCAGGGAATGTTCGATTGTCTTCTGAGAGATCAGGAAGGAGTTACAGTGGGGAAAATAATTACTTGATCCCCTGCAGATTTGTGAGTTTGCCCACTTACAAAGAAATAAAGGGTCTATTATTTTTATCATAGGTGTATTTTATATGGCTCACCAAGCTTCTTGCTGATGGTCTTGTAGTAAATGGACAGGACTAATCTGTGTACCACATGAGCACATAGCCAGTATGTGGGAGCCAGAATTATTGTTGGTTGGTAGGGGATCAAATACTTATTTTATTCACTGAACTGCAACTCAATTTATAACATTTGTATTCTGTGTTTTCTGGATTTTGGTTGATATTCTGTCTCTATCTTTTAAAATACTCCTTTGATAAAGGTTATAGACCCTTCATTTCTTTGTAAGTGGGCAAACTTACAAAATCTGCAGGGGATCAAATAATTATTTTCCCCACTGTATTTTTCCTCACTGGAGCAAATTGAGGTTTTTTTTTTTCTTTCCTCTGGGTCATCTGTGGGTATAGGATTCTGTATATGAAGTTTTTCATTTCATTGTTAGGTGTGTGTTTTTTTTTTTTTTATTGGTTGAACTAGATAGACTTGTGTCTTTTTTTTTTTTTTCTTTTTTTTTCAACCTGATTAACTATAAAATATCAATGTATGTATGAGCTTAGAATCATAGCCAGGTCAACTATATTTCTGTTTGAGATATGTGGTTCAGGTAAGGAATAACCAGAAATGATTACCACAAAGCCCAGAATTCAATCATTGCTTCTGTGATGCGATCATATGCAATGCAAGACCAGAAGCCCTGTATTGTATGTGATGACATCAAGGGCCCACCCACATACCAAGAGTGGAGGGGGTTCTGGCTCAGTGGGGGTGAGAAATAAGATAAGTGTTAATGGTGCACTGAAATTCTGGACCAAAAATTCAGGATGAACTTGGTCGAAAACCGAAATGGACAAATTTTTTTAAAATATATAATTGTATTATATTCGACTTTTCAATTAATAGCATGAATTTAAATGAATAGGAATTTAAAAAATACAATCCAGTAATGTCTAGTATCCAGTATTGCAAGTAACACACAAAAATTGAACAGAAAATAAAATGAGAATATATATGTATGTATGTGTGTGTACACATGTATGTGTGTGTGTGTATACTTATATATATGCATGCATGCGTGCACACACACACACACACACACACACCACTTTTTAACCAGAGTATAGCATCAAGTCAATTAAACTCCTGGGATATTGATCGGGTTAGTTAAGTAGCAGAGGGGGTTGTTAATTAGTTTCAGCTGCTTTGGTGTTAATGAAATTAACAACAGGTGCACTAGATGGGCAACAATGAGACAACCCCCAAAACAGGAATGGTTTTACAGGTGGAGGCCACTGATATTTTTATTTTTTTCCCTATTAGTCTTTTCTGACTGTTTTTCACTAGTTTTGCATTTGGCTAGGGTCAGTGTCACTACTGGTAGCATGAACTGATATCTGGACCCTACAGAGGTTGCACAGGCAGTCCAACTCCTCCAGGGTGGCACATGAATACATGCCATTGCCAGAAGGTTTGTTGTGTCTCCCAGCACAATCTCAAGAGCTTGGAGGAGATTTCAGGAGACAAGCAGTTACTCTAGGAGAGCTGGACAGGACCATAGCAGGTCCTAAACCCATCAGCAGGACTGGTATCTGCTCCTTTGTGCAAGGAGGAACATGATCAGCACTGCCAGAGCCCTATAAAATGACCTCCTGAAGGCCACTGGTGTGAATGTCTCTGACCAAACAATCATAAACAGACTTCATGAGGGTGGCCTGAGGGCCCGGCGTACTCTAGTGGGCCCTGTGCACACTGCCCGCCACTATAGAGCTTGACTGGCATTTGCCATTGAACACCAGAATTGGTAGGTTCGCCACTGGCACCCTGTGCTTTTCACAGATGAGAACAGGTTCACCCTGAGCACATGTGATGGACGTGAAAGGGTCTCAGCAAAATGAAATCAGACCTCTGTAGGTTGATAATAATTTTTTGATGATAATTTCATTTCCATCAAACAATGGGGCATCCTTACGTTCCCAACACATTACCCAGTCCATATCAGTATAGATATCCAGCATGATATTTTTCCCTGTTGAGATTTGTTGTGTTTTCAAAGTGTTCCTTTAATTTGAGCAGTGTATATAAAATGTAACAACTTATATAGAGGCGTTTTTGCATTGAAGTCAATAGGTGGCGTTTTTCCATTGGAATCAATGGGACACAATTTTGCATTGAAGTCAATGACATTATCATTACTGTTTTTTTTTTTCTATTAGCAAAATGCCGATAACCCTATTTTCGTCCGATAGATTTCGGTGTCCAATATATTGCTGCATCAGTAATAAGTATTCCTGCTTAATCCTCATCCCCCTAGACCAGTGCTTCTCAAATAGAGGGGCGCGCCCCCCCTCCGTCAAGGGGGGCGCGGCGCGGTGCCGCCGCCGTCCCCCCCCCCCTTCCGACAGAAGGGACACTAAGTACAGGGGTGGGCAGAGGGCTGCTGTCTCTTACCTGGCTCCCACGATGATCCATCCAGGAAGCGCTGCTCCTTCCATCACTCCGGCCACTCCCTCACTCCTGCCGCTCGGCTCCGCCTCCTCACCGGTGATTGGCCGCCAGAACTGTAGCTCAGGAAAGGTACACAGGCGGCCAATCACGGGGCAGGAGGCGGAGCTGAGCGGACCCCGCAAAAAAATCGAGTGAGGGAAAAGCCGGTAAGTGTGCAGTGCAGAGGTGCTGCTGCAAAAATACTATTTACAGGCGCACGCACGCGCACGCACACACACACACACAAAATTATTCTGGTTTTATGCAAACCACTTAGCACAGTGGCTAAGTGGTTAGCACATCCACTTAGCAGCTCTAGGGTCGTTGGTTTGAATCTCAACCAAGGCACTATCTGTTTGAGGTTTGCATGTTCTCCCTGTGCCTGCATGGGTATATACTGGGTTTACTCTAAAGACATACTGGTAGGTTAACTGGCTCCTGTCTAAATTGGCCCTATTATGTGTATGTAACAATGTGATCTTAGATTGTTCGCCTCTTGAGGGCAGGGGGCTGATGTGAATGTACAATATATATGTAAAGCGCTGCGTAAATTGTCCATAATATATAAATACCTGCAATAAATAAATAGCATGCCAGTATCATGGACTTGGAAGAAGATGGCAGCTCAACTCCAAAATTGATTCACAATGACAATTAATTAATGCATTTTTCATAGCAGTCGATAATGTAAGTGGTTCATATAGTGAACTCGGTGTAGAGCTATTCACCCTGAGGTCATCACAGAGGACAAGGGGGCACTCTTTACGTCTGGAGGAAAAGAAATTTAATCTCCAAACACGGAAAGGTTTCTTCACAGTAAGAGCTGTGAAAATGTGGAATAGACTCGCTCAAGAGTTGCTTCTGGCCAGCTCAGTGGATTGTTTCAAAAAAGGCCTGGATTGTTTCTTAGATACACAGAATATAACTGGATAATAACATTTATAGGTAAAGTTGATCCAGGAAATATCTGATTGCCTCTCAGGGGATCAGGGAGGAGTTTTTTTCCCAGCAGGAGCAAATTGGATCATGCTTTTCTGGGGGTTTTTTGCCTTCCTCTGTATCAACTGTGAGTATAGGATTATAACTTTTTTTTTTCTATGGTTGAACTGGATGGACTTTTGTCTTTTTTCATCCAGACTAACTATGTAAGTGTCATTTTTTTTGGCATCCTAAATTTCGAAGGGTTCTTTACAGCTAAAAAAGTGTCTGTAGCTAGGCATTTTGCATGGCTGTGCTCGTTTTGAACGTTCACATGAGAGTGTGAGAGAAGAGGGATACAAATTTCTTTGCGATATCCTCAAGGTATGAGAACAGATGTCAGAAAAAATACAACTTTTTGTGGTTTCCAATAAAATCAGTGGCAGTTGTATATACATATTGAACATAGAACCTGTATTACTAAAAGTTGTCTTCCTGTTTGGACTCTGTGACTTGTGTAGCAGATTAATGAAAGGATGGCTATATGCTTTTTTTCAGGTGCACAGCTTTTGATAAAACCAGAGGTAATATTAGAAGAGAAGGAGTACATCTATGTCGTAGGAGCGTCTACAAAGCGGCTTCTTCTTGGAGCAGAGGCGGCGGGTTTTGTGAAGGAGAGCTTGGATGGCACTATGAGACCGTTTTTGTACGGCAACCGGACGGAATTCAAATATTTTAAAGGTAAGGTTTCATATTATTACAACAAAGCTTTGAATTTTGTTTTACAATGCTGGATTCTTCTTCATCGCCAATAATACTGGACCTGCCTTGAGGTTTTTGCAGATGTCCCCAGCAAATACAATTGCACATTATGGCTTGGATGCCTTATCAGCTCTGGCCCACCACCATCTACAGACTTTCCTTGAACAATAAATAAGCCAGAAGGTTTTAGTCCAGAAATATCAGTTTAACAGTGAACCTGGGGCCAGATGATGAACATTCAGAAATTTCATATTTTCTTAACAAGCAGCAAAAGCCTTTTCTACAAACCCTCTGTGACGTATGTAGCTGCAGTCACTGTGGAGCAACGTATCATCAATGTTGACAGCAGCAGCACTGAAGTCTTGAATTTGTTCTCTCAGCTGCTCAGCTTCTCCTTCGCCCTTCACCTAATCTCTAATGGAAGCACAGAGCAGGATCTCTGATTACAGGAGCACGGAGAACTGATCTGCTGAGAGACTGACTTCAGTGCTTCTGCTGTGAGCTTTAAAATTTTACTAAACCCACAACAGTAAAATCAGTCTGTATATGCAGTAAAGCGTGCTTGTTATACTCACCATGGAACCTAAGGGGTTAATCTCTGCATTGTGTAAAAACGCTGTTTGATCCTCCCTTCTCTGATCCTTCCCTTCTTCCAGTGTCCTCCTCTTATCTCCTGATATCGTGTGGAGTCACTCTGCACATGCTCAATTTGGTATGTATTGCTAGAGAGGTTTTTTTTTTTTTTTTTTTTTTTGGGACAGTGTATGTAATCAGCACAGGGCCAATCAGCACTGTCCAAACAGAGGTCATGGGTTCTGCATCCTTCTGGAGCAAAATGAAAACTCATCCTACAAGCTTTAACATGTGCTTGGCTGGACACCAATAGAAGTCACAAGACTGCTGATGAGAAAAGGTATTTAGCCGTTTATATTTACTAAAATAATTGCATTTCCATGTTCTGTGTACTGTGGGAGACCAGATATAGTGAATGCAGGGTCCTACGTTTATTAACACTTTTAAAGTGGAGTTTCAGCTGAAGAAGAAGAAAAAAAAAAGTCAACAGCTACAAAAACTGTAGCTGCAGACTTTTAAAATACAGCCACTTATTTGTCCTTTGGTCCAGTGGTGTCTTCACCACCGCTGGTTTCACAAGCCGTCTTCTCTCCCGGGCGCCGTTATCTTTACTGTGGGCACCCAGCTGTGACAACTTGCAGCTTCACAGCCGTGCGCCCACTGTGCATTCGCGGGAAGAGATACGCTTTGTGAATGGCCCTGTAGTCTTCTGGGACCTGTCTTGTGTCCCAGAAGACTATGGGGAAGGAGGGAGGACAACTTCTACTTTTGATTGCCTAGGTGATCAAAGCGGGAGCGGGTACCTGTCAAATTCAAATACCCGCTCCCCCCCCCCCCAAAGGTGCCAATCCTTAATGGGGAGCGGGGGACAAAGCAAAGCATCAAAGCGGAACTTCCCCTTTTGGGTGGAACTCTCCCTTTTGGGTGGAACTCTGATTTATGGACGAATTCAGGGGGAAGACTACGGGAAATATAACAAAATCTTTATGGGCCCCCTGGCAACTTGTGGCAGTGTCAGTTGTGAAAATATGTCTCAATAATCTTACCATTAAATATGCCAAAATCAAGGCCAGGTAGCAGAAGCATGCAGAAAGTTTTTTTCCTTTATTGCATAGAATGTATTAAGGTAAAAAACCTTTCTTATGACATTCTTGATCCTGAACACAATCAATCAATAACTCTAATACAAACCGATTTAATCTATGGCTACAGAACTACAAATCTCAGCTTTCTTGTCGATTTTAATCTGAGGAATCGTGCAGTATTTTTACAGCTTTGAAAGACTGTTAGGCATATACTGTAGAGTTTGTTTCACAGTACTGGCAGAAACATTGAGGGAAATATATTTACTCCCAGATAGGGAAAAGGATAAAGCTGTACAGAGCAGATAAAAAAAACCTGCTCCCTACCGCACAGAGAAAGTGAGGGAAAATTGTGATTAGCAACCCCATGATCCCTAAGACTCCTTAGATAGCCATAGCATGGTCTGCATTATGTTACACCACTGGTCAAACAGAGGCATCACCAACCTGTTTCTTGCAGGCTTGGCTGCAGAAAGGAGCAGTGGAAGACAATGGATTTGCTGGATCTGGCATAGGCCAGACATTTCAGACAACATTTGGCAATTGTGACCCAGCACAAAGAAAAATTTAATTCTTTGCTTTGTGCTGGTGAGTACAGTTCTGGTACATCTTTTTGATCTCTAAAATGAGGGGGTGCTCTGGAAGCATATATAAGGAACAGCAAATGCCCCATGTTAAAGCCTGGAAGCTGAATAGAAACTAATAGGCAATATTTTATATATGTATATATGCCCTGGAAAACCTCAGAAGGTTAAAAGATGATGGTATGCTTGTTTGTTTTGTAATGTTCAAATATAGATATGCTTTTATTCCTACATATTTTTAAAGACTGGTGTGCTAAATATTTCTGGGAACCAATTAGCTCATGGCTGACTGTTGGCTGATGGCACTCAGTCAGACCAGACTGGAAAAATACTGACTTTAAAGTCAGGATCCACCCAGATGCCTGGACCGGCAGCTAGCTTAGCCTCTTAACGAGCCGCTGGGAGACTGAGCCAACCGCTCCTGCCTCCTTTACAGCCCGGCGGTCCAGTGAGCCCTGGAGGGGCAGAGCACAGAACCGGAGACTGACCATTTCACTGCTTACTGAAGACTGAGAACTGAGTAATCAGTGGTCTTTGATCGCTCAGTTCTCAGTCTTAGAGCCGGCGGGGGACAGATGCAGCATCGAACCAATGTTGCATCCACCTAGGTGAGTAGAATTTTTTTTTTCTTTTGTTAGAACCCCTTCTCTTTTAATGTATCCCTGATGATGTTATTGGGATAGCAATGCCCTTGGTTTAAGAAGGTGGGCTGGATTCTATTGTTCTTTTTTCTTGAATGTTTGGTATCAATTTACTTTGATTCCTTATTATGCGTTAATAATACCAATGTTTTCACAATACTCATCTAATTGTCTCATGTGTTGTTCAAAGACATTTGTATTTTTCATTCCAAATAACATTTTTATATAATATATTAAAATAATAAAGTGTAGGTTTTTATCTGTTAAGATACCTGAAGAAAGATCTTTAGAGCTCTGAAAGCATAAATTATTTAATACTGTTAGCCACTGAAAGTTGTCTCTTTGACAACATAAGTTTTTTTTTTTAACTTCTCCACCTGTAAAACACCCGAATGAAATAACTGCATTAGAAAACCCATAGAAAGATGATACAAAAAAACAAGTTAGCAAATAGAATATAATCTGTTTATCAAAACTAAAGGTTGTATGTTTAGATCCCTAATGGTGAAAATCACATCAAAATTTAGCCTAAATCAGCAGCTCTAACAGAACAATGACCTTCAGAGCAAACTTGCGTTATTAAGCTAAATATCTCAAATTCTTTCCAATTGTAGGAACATTTACACATAAATTATTAAGTGTTCTACAGTAAGTAGCTCTGTCACTTACTACAACATTTTGTAATAGGTTTACAGGTTGATAAATGGAGCTAAACGGAAGGGGCCGTTTTTTTTTTTTTTCCGTGCCTTCAACTTTATAAGCTGATTTCTGCTACAAATTTCACAATTTTATCCATTGGAAGTGAAGGGTTAATTGTGTTTTGGACTTCTGGAGAAAGATGAGAAGCACTCAGTAGTGAGGTGCTGTGATCTATGGGTAGGGGTTCCTGTTGCCCATTGCACTCAGATTTCATTTTGTCCAAGGCAGACTGGCTGTAAAATGAAAAGTAATATTTTACTAGTAGCTGTGGGCAGTACTATCATTCCCATTACAATCCTGTTTGAGCACAGGGCATACTTATAGCTTTGTCTGGAATATACGTTTTAAAAATGGTATAACATGTTTTATATGTGATACATTTATTTAAACAGGTCTTTATTCAGTCCCCCTCTTACCTATTTTTGCAATGTTCTCTTAAAAAAAAGTACTCCTAGTGAATCTAGAGTTTTTTTTCTGCTGCTTTGCTGCCCAACACTTGGTCAAGTGCCACCATTGTCCTAGGCTTGCTGGCTCTTCAGGTACTTGCAGTTGGCCCTAGATGACGCACCTCCAGGTCTGCCCTCAAGTCAGTGTGTGTCCCTGTTCCTTCAACCTTCTGGCATATATGACGGGGATATCCCTGGAGGTTGCAAAATCAGGGAAATGTCATTCTTGCTTAGGTGAGATTAAAGATAATGGGAGAGTAAAAAAAAAACCCTGTTTTTATAAACCGCAGTGAGGGAAAGGGTCACAGTGGGGAAAAGTTAATTTTAGGAATAAAGTTGCACTTTAACTTTATCCAAGATAGATGGAGCTACTGGGATGATGAGAGGTCGTTTGTCCATTATCTATGCTTCCCTTGTCGATCCACTTACTAAATTATCTTACATGACTCAATTGGAAAGGGATTTGAATAGCTCACTAGACCTGGACATTTGGCGGAATACGGCCCATACTCTATCAAAGATTTCGATTAATACTGCTCTTATCGAATCCAGTTATAAAACACTATTTCGCTGGTATCTAGTTCCTACACGCCTTGCTAAAATGTTTCCATCAGTATCACCTAATTGCTTTCGAAATTACGGACAAGAGGGCACTATGCTCCATATCTGGTGGAAATGTCCGGTAGTGAATAAATTTTGGGTCCGATTGTTTAACTTCATTTACTCGGTAACAGGAATTAACATTCGTAGATCACCGGAAGTGGCTTTATTTCATTTGCTGCCCGCTGACATTCCCGAGAAATCAACTAAATTAATTCTTTATCTCTTATTAGCGGCACGTATTACCATAGCTAGATGTTGGAGACAATCATCAATTCCACTAGACGGGGTTAAACAAAAACTTAATTGGATAATGATAAATGATAAACTTACGAGCATTGTCAATAATGATAC